TATATATATATATATATATATATATATATATATATATATATATATATATATATGTATGTATGTATATATATATATATTCAGTAGTAAATTCAGAAATGCAGAAAAGAGTAGTATTTTCTTGCTCAGTAGCCATTTATTTTGGTCTGCCAGTTATTTATCAACAAACTCTGTTGGATCTCTGAAGATGTTAAAGTGCAGGAATGCTATTGAAGGAAAAGTCTCAGTGACTCCAAAGCCATTTGGGTTCATACTTTGAGCCAATCGTCCGTGTAATGGTTCTAAAATCATGTTTTGAAACAGAGGTCTTCAAGTCCACAAGTCTTAAATTTGCCAAATTTGGGGATCCCTGTTTTGAACAATGCTGTTCATTTCTTCTTTAAAACCACTGTGGTTAAACGTCTCCCCATCCACCTTTTGGGCAACTTACTTTCTCACTTAGTTACTATTTTTCCTCATATCCATTCTTGAATGACTATCTTGGCACTTAACTCTATTCTCATTTCTTTGTGATTCATGACCAGTGGGGATTGTTTTGTTTTGTTTCATGCTTGCCAAAAATTTCTTCTCTGTTCTTTTTTCCCTTTTCTTTTTACTGTGCTTCAATCTGATGGAAAATAAATCACTTTTGATTCTTTTTTCCCCCTAAAGCAAAGAAGAAGTTGTGGTGGGATTCTCATGGATGGGGTGCAGGGGTCTTTTGCTTACCTTAATTATAGAAAAGCCAAGGGTTATGCCATGCCTTCCCTTGGATCATCATCTTTCCAGTGACCAGCAGTTTCTATGGTTTCAAATTATTTAATTACAGGTAACTCCTAAGGAAAACTTTTTGGGGCTCTTCCAGAATAAGAAGTTTTAGAACCCAAAGTAGCTTTTGTGCAATGAAAACAAAAATGTTATGCAAATAATTATCTACCATTTCACAACACAATCAGTTCAAAGTATTTCCCAGAGAATTTGAAAGAAATTCAGAAGCAAATAATTGTGTGGAAATCCATGTCTCTGCTAAATTGAATTCTACCTAGCTAATTCACAAAATTAAAGAGAAATCAAAGGTCAAGTTTTGGAATTTTATACTCTGTGCAATATTATGAAATATAGTCTTATCTTTTTTCAAGATAAAGATTCTATTAATCCCAGATAGAATTTTAAAAAGTACTGATGTTGGGCTGACAATCTCTCTCTCTCTCTCTCTCTCTCTCTCTCTCTCTCTCTCTCTCTCACACACACACACACACACACACACACCAGATCCACAGATTGTTCAGTGGCAAAGGTTGGAAGGCTTTTGTCTTTTTCCCTTTCTTGCCATCTTGTTCTGGATCACACTTCTCTAACCCCTGTGAAATCATTTACTGCATGGGTTATGTCACATTTACTGTAGTCTTTATAAAGGGTTAAATGGAGGAGGGAAAAAAGAAAAAAAGATAGGGGCATTTATTCCTGTCATACAAAGTGCTGTGTTGTTTTAACATGACATCAGTCCATTTATTTAAGAGAGACAGAAAAAAATCATGTTTTTGCTTTCTTGTATCATATTAAATATCAGTGTCACATTCCTATATGATGCAATTATTACTGCCCATGATTAATCCTATTCAATGTTATTTTGGATTTCCTTTCTCTCCCCTCCCCTGTATATTATCAGTGGAATATTATAGAGCTCTGCTGCTCTCTTTCAGCGGATTCGAGGTCGAAAAGCCAGTTTGGAAGAAATACAGCTGGTTCACTCCGAACATCATTCACTGCTCTATGGCACCAGTCCCCTGAACAGACAGAAGCTGGACCCCAGGAAAATCCTAGGTCTGTAAAGGGCTCTATTCTACTGAGAACAGCACATTCCAGCCTCGTCATTAGTCATAGCTGGTGTCAGTTTAAAATACTTGGCAAGCGATGTAACACCCCCCCCCAACCCAAAACAAAACACTTTTTCCAGATGCAATTCATTGTGGAAAGAGAATGTTGCAGAGGGAGCCAGTATAGATTAAGGAAAGGCACTGGCTCAAAAATCAGCCACAGAGATCTCATTCTGCTTTTATGATCATCTGGTTATTAACCTTTGGGTTATAAACAATTATACTTTGGCGAGTAAGTCAGAAAAAGAATGGACACATGACCCATATCTTTAAGGGATAGTTTTAGCCTCTTTTACTTGAACAGTCATAGAAGACAGAAGAACTTCAAGGGGTAAGACGGATATTTTAAAGTCATGACTACCATCTGGGTTCCACTACACACAGCAATGGATCTTGAGTCCCTGCTGTGTTGTACTGACACGGTTTTGAAATATGAATTTATATGAATCAACATCTTTCGCTGACTGAAGCAGGGTTCAGATAGTGCCTTCACCTATGCAGGGATCAGCATTTGGAAAAGCCTTGCTGGATAATTCAGATGGTAACAGTTGCGATAATGAATGCAGATAACTTTTGAGAAGGGTGGTTCGATAAATTCAATGGGAATTTATCTGAAAAATATGCTTTGAGAAAGGATCAATACCTGTCTTTGTTCTCCTTCCCATGTGGCTTTGCTGGAATCAGGCCATTCCACAGTGCACTTGATAGGCAGGTCCTAGATTTTAATTGCATGGACTGTCTTTATGGGGGAAATGGAAAACATTTTCTCAAAGACCTTAATATGGTGGGATAAAGATTTAGTGTGTATTGAACTGGAACCTTCTTCATTATAAAGTGATCCTGCAAAATCTGCCATGATTTGAAGACATTTTAATCTACTGAGACGTACAAACTATTGGCAAATAATGGACTGTTTATTTGTGTTTATTTTAATGTATTTAAGGCATTGTATTGACCTTTTCGGTCAAATTCAGTACTGAATTTATTTTGCAGCTTTCCTGAAGCATATATTTATAATCATATTCAACAAAAGGTATAAGAAGGCAGATAGAGCAGAAAGTACCTCAGCTTCTGGTGTCTTACTGGGTGCTGAAGTGATGGTGATGTAATGTGTGCACATAGTGTGTAATAAAATCATAATCAATTTGTTGCTCCCCCAGAAACACTGCCAAAAGCTATGGCCGCTTGCAGCACACATTCTCTTCAAAATGTTGAGATTTTGATTTAGTCTTTGTTATAGCAGGCGGGGGGGGGGGATCAAATCTATGTAAAAATTATAAAAGTTACATTTATAAAATTATATGGGAATTCTTTTTATATTGATTCCTTGCCTCTTTTCTGCAAGTACAAGGTCCATTTTTTTTCAGATCACCCAAGGATTGAACCATAAGTTACAACAGGAATGACTGATTGGCTCGTCACCTGAACCTAGGCCTAAGGCATGAAACTCGAGTCTCCTGTTTTCTAGTCTGGTGCTTTAACCACTAAAACAAACTGGCTCTCACAATCCAATTACTATGGCTTTTTAAAATTATAAATGGGAGGGAACGCTATTCTTCCTTCTTCTCCTCTTCTTCCACAATCACATGATGTATTTATAGAACATTAAGTATAAAGCATTAAGAGGAAAAAATATTTTAATTTCGATGAACGTACAATAATATATTTCAGAAAGGAAACTCTGGCCATAAATAGATGCCAGTCGAAAGAATAAAGAGAAAAATATCTGGACAGGCAAATCCAAAATAGACTGGTTTTTATTTAGGAGAAAGAAGGCCTAGATGCCTATCATTTAGAGTTCAGATCTGCAGACTGAATCTTAGCACAATACAACAACAATAACAATAACAAGTGGGAATTTGTCTTGTGAGCAATGAAAACCAGGAATGGATCTAATGAGGGCATAAGATTGCTCATGTAAGTGTAGCTCTTTAATCCCCCCCCAAAACATTTGTCCAACTATCTTATGCTCTCTTCCTAATAGGAAACCATCCAACTTTTCTTTAGAGACTTACGACTCTGTTTGGGTTTGACACTAGATTGCAATGGATTTGAGAGATTTGCTTTCTTGGATGTTGCAGGAGTTTGAATCAGGAGGCATATGCTTGCTGTGGATGATGTTTCCTAGACAATCACAGTTGTATTTGACAAAGAGGCTAGATTTGATGTGTTTGTATGTGTAATGCTTGTGAGTGGCATCTGTATGTGTCTCTGTTTAAGAAAGGTTTTGTAAAACATATACCAGACTTTATCTTTCATTAGCAGTTAAAACTTCCACTTAATACTACAGTGTAATAATTCCAAATTATTATTTTGTGCAAGGGACTGATATTGTAATCAGAAAAAAGATGGGGAAGCTTTATAACAAAATAAAAGGTGAAACAAAAAAATCAACAATTTTATATTCCAACCAACCATTAAAAACAAAATGCAATAATGCGACAACAGAATACAGGACCAATATTCTTCTAAAGGATAGGACCTTCAGTTTAACTAAACAATAGATATGAGAATTTCTCTGCCCTCTTTTCCTGAGCAAAGGTATAAAGTTACTAAGGGATGGAAGAAACTTCAGCTTTCACTACTCTGAAATATTTACCATTTTCATCATTTATGCATTCATTACTATGTATTAGTTTACTGTGTGTCACATTGTAAATCATCATAATTGACAATACAGGTCATTCTTTTAACAATTGACAATATAGATCATTCTTTTAATAAGGGCATTTCAGAACATTTGCTCAGTTCTTAGTTTCCATTCTTTTTCTGTTGCTTCTTTTGCTACTAAGATAGCAAAATGCATACATGCTAAAATTATGTGTCAACCCCTCTTATCCTATTAGCTCAAGCTTCATACTAAATAAAAATGACATATTCAGAATCTGCACAATATGTGTGATTATATCATAACTCTAAGACTTTCTTAACTTTTTATTCTTACCTGAATATATCTGAAGTTTTGGTAATGAAAACCACTAGAAGACCTCCAAACTCTTCTGGTTTCTATTAGCTTGCAGGCAAGGACACTATCAGATACAAACACTAGTATGCAGAAGTATCATCAGAATGGCTGAGCTTTTAAATACTGCATTTTCCAAAGCCAACCACAGAAATAACTAGATAATCAGAGTTTATGCAAGATTGGGTTTTCCTGAACTAAGGTAAAATAACTGGGATTTCCATGTACTATTTGTTTTGCAACTTTTCTAAATATTTTTCTTTTTGATTGGTATAATCAAAACATATTTGTAAACCCATCACCTTGCAGCCCCCCCCCTTCCTTGAAATGATTCCAGGGCAGGATGGGGAAACCAAGGTTCAGATATTGAATAAAGCAGAGTTTTTCAAATTTGGCAACTTTAACATGTTACTGGGAAATGCTGGGAGCTGAAGTCCACATATCTTAAACTTACAAAGTTTGACACTTAGTCTCCAGCACCTAAAATGTTCTGGACTTTTACCATAATTGCTAAAAATCAGTACCATAATTTTCTGCATTTTAAATTGGGAAAAATAAAAGACATAGTATAAATTTGCTTCTAAATGTTGTCCAGTTTCTGCCCACTACAACAATGACCTTTACTAACTCATTAAGTTATTTCATTCTCCCAAATGAATTATCAAAAGAAAAATATCACGCATTCAACAGTATTAACATAAAGCACATACAAATTAATAATTATAATAATATTTAAAAAATTAATAGGCATAACTGAAAGGCTAGACAGAAAACTCTAGAAATACTGACTTTGTTTTACAAAAATATTCTTCCTTCCTATCAAATCCAAACTCTAAAAAAAAATACACAGACCATATAACGCAAATGGGTGAGTACTATGGATTTGGTCAGTAATGTATGCATGTGTAACTCATACATTAATCAGAGCAATAACTGATTGTGGCAGCAACAGGACACTTCCAGTGCATATGTAATATATTCATGTTCCATGTTCTGCATGGAAGTTGCATCTCTAGTAACAAAATCATTGCAATTAACTCTTACTCAACATTCTGTGAGCTGTTCAAAATGCATGGAACATTCTGTTTTTGTACCTTTACTAATCTCAACTGAAGATCATAATAAATGTTTTGCATTATTTAAAAGAACTCTGCATTGGTTTATCTAGATAGAATGAAAAGATCATGATTTCAGAGATAGAATATAAATTCTACCAAGTTCTTGTAGTAATAGGTTAGCATAGATAATTCCTTTTAAATCTTCTAACTACAATGGAAAGTCAGAAGTAGCAATAATAAGCCAAAATAAAGTTTTGGTTCAGTTCAATAAAATGTCATGAATATTGATTTGAAAATTCTAAAACAGCTAAAAACAGTTTCTTCAAAACTGAGTTGACCCAAAAATAATGACATGAAAAACTTGGTTAATCCCCCAAATAGATTTACCCATTATTTTAAAGAAGAGATCATAATGAGATTGTTAATGAGATTGTATGGGTAAAACAATCAAAAGTATATCTCAGAGAGTAGATTAGTGATATAGATGGAGATATAGATGATAGATTTTGAGACTATATGGAAAGCGTATTTATGAAATGAGATTAGGAATATAAATATTATTAAATATAATTTATTATTCACATATAAATCATGTTATCTCCCCATTACAACTCCTTGCTATATTTATAGAGTTTCATTTAAATTAGCAGTGATGCATTCCTGGAATTATTAGGAATATACTATTTTTTCTTTACTAAAGGTTTGATTTGTGCAAAACTATGAGGGTTAAGATACATACAGTCCTGAAAGGTCTCGCTTTATCTATTCCTGGAATAACCTGGGGATAAAAAAACACACTTGATTAATGTGTCATAGCTGAGAAGAACTATCTATAATCTACAGAAGGTGCGTCAAACTCGTGTCATCACAACAGCATCACATGACATATCATGACTTCCCCTCCCTTGCTAAACTGGGCATGGGTGTAGCCAGTGCGTGATGCATCTGGCCCGTGGGCCACGAGCTTGACAGCCCTGATCTACAGAAAGCTATGTTATATGGTTGCAACTGACTCCAAAGCCTTTGGCTTGCTTTTGGTTTGATGATCACCAAGGTACTTCCACAACTTCACGTATGTGATGTACCTAGTCAAACCAGGAAAAAATGCTTTGGGTCAATGAAAATGTTGATTTTGTATGTAGTAGCTATGAAAAGGGCAAATTCAATGCCAGGAATCATTAGAAAAGGGACTGGAAATAAAACTGCTCACATTGTAATGGTTTGAAATGAATCAGTGGCTACATCTGACAAGTATGCACAGTTTTGCCATGTTTGGAAAAAGATAGAAAATATCAGAAAAAAAATGTAGAAGAGTGGTTTGTAGTACTTGGTTTGTAACCGAAATGATCAAAATGCTTGAATACCTACTGCATTGTGGGGGAGGGGGAGCTATAACTTTGGGGATTCTAGGGAAAGGGGCAAATAAAGGTCAAAATAACTACAGTGTATAAAATCATGTCATCTGCTTATATTGGACTACAACTCCATTATTTCTAGCAAGTATGGATCTTGGTGGAATTATAGTCCAACATATCTGGAGAGGACAAGGTTAGTGACATCTGTTCTGGAAGCTTTGTACATTGCTTAACCATTCCCCCCAAAATTATGCTAGCTTAATTTAATTTCTTTGATTAAGTTTTAAGAAATGTTTTTACTATTTTATTAATTGCTAAAAATATTGTAGTACTGTACTGTAAAAAAGGATGTATTTTCATGTTAAATTTATTTATATTTTTAATACAGACAGTGCACTTCACAAACCTTTTTCGTTGCTGCCCTGTGGGGGTCTTGGTGTAAGTAGCTTTTGTTTCTGTTTTCTAGTGTTGTGTGTGTGTGTGTGTGTGTGTGTGTGTGTGTGTGTGTGTGTGTGTGTACATTTATGTGAGTGTGTGTATCTTTAATAATTAAATATAATGCACATACATACACATATGAGTATAGGTATATATTTAATGATTGAACATAACTAAAGATGAGCATTAGTAATATAGCCATATGTGTGACCATTCAGAGACTAGTTCCTATGTAAATGTATTTTGCAAACAAGGAAACAAACTAAAAACCACCAGATTTATATGGGTTCTGAGGAGGGATGTAAAGGAAGAAAGCGATTGCATCAAAAATAAATTCTGAATAACATTATCAATACTAAATAAATAATGGTATAAAAATCCAATGGCAACAGCAAAATACATATGAGTTAAGTCTTACATGTATAGCAAATTTTTTTTGAGGAAATTTGTAGTTGTTTAAACAAATATTGGACATAAATAAATAAAGAAAATGTTGCTTTATGTAATACCATGTTCTATGTTGAGAGATCTGTGACTTTGGAATCATTTATAACTTGGAAGTGAGTCTGCCCTCAAATTCCTTGGATACACCTCAAAAAATTGATAACCGTCTACCTCTTTTATGGCTCAGAGGAGGCAACACGAATCACATCAATATTGGCAGCCAATATGAATTTTGACATGCTGTAAAAAGCATAAAAGGGCTTAAGGCATTTGTTTAGTTGAGGAATGGGCTCTCCAGCTGTGTCAGAGCTAAGTTTGGGTTTTGGTCCTGGTACCCGAGGGACCGTCCTGCAGACAAAAGAGAATTCCACATTTATCTTATAAAATAAGGCAGCTGTCCAATTCAAAGTTTTGTTAAAAAAAAATAAAGGAAGAAAAACAAGTGGGAACAGAAAGGTCACTGCACAGTGTCAGGTCTTTAAAATTGAATGAGGCTGTGCTGGGGAAAAGTGAATGTAACACCTTGTAGGAATCCAGGTATGTTATATAGAAGTGTTAAATTGGTATTAACTTTGTTTCCTTCGGTTGGTTTGGTTATTCTTGGCACAAACAAGGACGATATTGTAATACCTGTATATAATTACTGAAATGTGGAATTCATTTCAAAAAAGACTATGCAGTATACCGTACAGGTGATGCCCCAGGATCCAGAAAACCAAATCTAGTTTGTACAGTTTAATTACATGTAATGAACATTAACTGAGTAGGATATCTATAAACATAATGGATGTCAGCAACAGCCGACACATGTTTTCAACATCCCTTAAGAAGATTTTGCCATTTCTAAAGAAAAGGGGATAACAATAATAACTTTATATTTGTATATGCTTCTTTTTATAATTTTTGCCATTTTTATTTTATTGCAAATTTTTCCCTGGCTTTTATAGCTTTTCTTACACAAATGGGTCCAATAACCACTCCTCAGTCTAAAAGAACTTCACTACCAGGATGGTCCTCCAGTTCATTGCTTGGATGAGTCTTTCTAAAGGATATTCTCAAGTCCTGGTTGTCCTAGAGGTGTTTTTCAAAAGGAAACTCAATTTTCTTGGGTTTTTTACTTGAAAATATTTCACTTCATATCCAAGAAGCTTCTTCAATTCCTCATATGTCATGAATGGGTTAGGGTTCACAATACAATAGATACTAGAGGAACAGGTTGCCATTCATGGTGAATAATTATTTTACTCCATGACTTGCTTTGGAAACAAGATTATTTAGTATTTCTGTACATTATATATTTCATTTTTGAACAGGCAGATTAAACAGGGATTAGGGGGTTGGCAACATTGTGGGGAGGCAGGACTATGAAAACAGAATTAATTGTGATGGCTAAATGCAGGGATGACAGAATTCCTTAATAAGCAAAAGAAATTGATTACCTTGTTTGAAAATCAAAATGTAATGTCAAAAAAATCCCCACTGTCCAGAATATTTCCACTCCCATGTATCTCTTATCTTTCTATGTAAAATGTAAAGAGGAACCTCCTGCCAAAAAACTTCAGTCTTGAAAATAAAAATGAAAGAAAAGTAAATATCTAATTCATATTAGTTGCCTTTAATTTGCCAATCACAGGTACCCTAAATTGGCTGCACATACTTTGCACATCAGCCTTCGAAGACCATGATTACACCAATCTTATTAATCTGATATACTGTAAAAATATCTGTTAGGCTAGAAATTATAATTGTTCCTCTTTTTACTGTTCTTCCATTCATGTACTATTTCCTGATATGATTTTGCTACAACAAAAACATGAAATATTCGTCTTTCATCAGACAGATGGTCCAACACTGTGGGACAAAGTCTAGTGTCTCCAAATAAGTGAAGGAAGGCAATTAAAAAGTTTGCATTCTAGGTAAGGGATTCTGGCAGGACAGTAAGTTAATATTGCTATAAATCATACTCTTTGGTGTGTAAGAATCTTCCTAATCCCAGGATCTTCTGAACAGTTTTGAAAAGTATCAGCAACTTTTCAGACTCAGACAATGGTTTTGGTGTCCTCCCATTTTTCTAATTTGTTTACAACCATAATCCCACAGCCAGCATGAAGAAAGTCTCTCTTTGTCTGTCTGTATGTCTTATCTATCTATTACTGAAACTTTCATTTTCATAACCTTTAACTGGGTGCACCAGAGCATTGTAAGGAGAGGTAGGCATCAAAATTTTTAGAAATGGATTCTCTGCCTGGTTGCTGGATGGGCATGGCCATGGTGGGTGTGGCCTAGTTGGCCTCCACAGTGTGTTTGTGTGAGTGTGTGTCTTTGCCCTCCCTGGGCTCCGGAAGCTTTCCTCAAGCTTCCAGGAAGGCAAAAATGGCCTTCCCAGGCTCCAGAGGCTCTCTGGAGGCTGCTTTTGATAGGCCCATTATTTTGCCATCCCTAAGCCTCCTGCACTTACCTGCATCCGAAACGGTTCACGTGGAGATTCCTGGGAGGGGTGGAGTGAGTAGGGCCAGCCAGGAGTGGGATTTTCTCTGAACTTCACAGAATCTTAGCAAGATGTTTTCCAGAACCCCTGCGAACTCCCAGCAGCCCACCCCTGATTGTAAGACAACAATTTTTGAACCACAGTATCTCAAATGGACTTAAGTTATAGAATATGTCCTAAATCCGAGACCTTGATTCCCAGGAGAATTCAAATTTGGAAAACTTTATAAAATGTTTTATGATCTATTAGTTTATGAATTATCATAAAACAGTTTATTATAAATACAAGACGTTATAAAACATTTCCTGTGCTGATGTCTGTATCAACATGGACTGTTTTCAAGGCAAATCTCAGAATGTATCCCACCTTTTGTAATGAAGACCATGTTTTAAAGTTCTGTTGTTGAAGGCATTGAGTGATTTGATAAGGAAACATCTCTGGGAAGAGGCCCTCTAATGTTAATTAAGAATGATGGGCATTGCAGAATCTGGAAAAGACTAATATTAAAAATATCAATTTGGACCTTTATCCAAGTCATTCTACTACCTTACTGCTGTATTTCTGAGAGGTACAAGAGGATAAAAAACCTTTACTCTCAGAACATATTACATAGCCTTTTTATTTCCATAGGGAAAAACAGAAAACCTTTTGCATGCTGTAGGTAAAAATCCAGTAGCTTCCACAAAGAATAATGCAAATTAATTTTTATTTAAGCCATCCAATCTCTTTAAATAACTCCTCATACACTTCAGGGACAGGTAGTTTAATTTCTATCATCTGTGACTTTATTAAGGTCTAGTTTTCCTACACATGTCAGTGATTGAGCTATGCTGGAAGTATTTGCAAAAGCTTGCAAGTGCTATGTTCATTCAGGAAACTCTGAATGAAGTAAATCCATATGTGCCTTAAAAGCCTTAGACGTCAGAGTGGGATTGCATATTCTGGCTTGTAACATTGTCATGAACGATTCTGACTGTTTAAAGTGTTACTGAAACCTGAACATGCTTGATGTCTCAACTGAGTGTACTTGCATTTCAAAACTTTCTGCTTTTAAAAAGCCTGTTGATGTTAATTATTTTTTGGTTATTTATAGCAGTGGTTCTTTTAAAAAAACAATTTTTATTTGTTTTTAAACAAGGACAAACAAACATAAAAACCCATCTTCCATTACAAATTGTAGAAAGTGTGTCAGTTGGTTACAGTATTTCTATGCATCTCTTCCATAATCACCACCTGCTTTTCATATCAAATCACACATTTTAAATTTACATATATTCATGTATATCACAATTATTATATCTCAACCTTAATTTGACTAGAATTGTTTTTATGTCCTTTTATAATATTCAAAATCTAGAATAGGATTATATGATAACATTCCATTAAATCATCCTAAAATCATCCAATCTCA